ATGGGGATAGAAAGGGGGTGGCGTGGTGGATCCTGAATTGAAAACCAATGATGATAACACAGAATAGACAGGAAAGAACAGACGCCAACCCAATCCAGCCGTGCCGCTTATAAGGCAATGGCGCCGGGAAGACGGGCGACAGAACCCTGGAGCTAGCTGAGGCGGGTCCAAGTGTCCTTGGCCCACGTCCGTACTTCCTGGGTCCTGGGTGTCCTCAGAGCAGCATTCTGTCCTCTGGGTGCATCTGTTGATCACAGTTGAGGTGGCGCCATGTGCTCAGAGCATCAAGAAAAGACCCCTGACCCATGCATGCCATGTGCGTGGGCAGTAGGGACAGAATGAGATGCTTAACAAACATACAACATAAATATGAAACGTGGACAGACATTAGACAGCACAAACCGCGGCAAAGAAATGTGCCCCAAACCAAAATTACAAACAATCCTTGGACTTTTGTCCAGGGTGGAACCAAGGGTTCTTGCACGTCTGCTTACCCTATGGTTCAATTCAAGCAACCCTCGGACTTTCGTCCAGGGCAGGACTTCAGGGTCTCGAAACATATCTATTTTCCCCAGAAGTCCGAATTACAAATAATACAAATTACAAATTCTGCGCAGATCAAATTCAAATCATGGCATCAAACCAACAAAACAGCAAATTCAAATTCAAGTCATGGCACCAAACCAGCAAAACAAAACAGCAAGAGACATAACAAGCAAACATATAACATTGAACATATAAGTTGCGAGCTCGAATCATCTTACCTCCAAGATCGAATCCAGTCAGGTGAAGGGTGGTCTAAAATCCCGGACGAGCCCCCAAATGTTAGACCCCGGAAAACTCAGGTACCCGGGGTTCCAGGCCATGTTCGAGGTCACCCCAATCACCAGGCAGATTCGAGAGCTTGCTGCAAACTGCACGAGGATTTATTGTAATTTAACGAGCTAACCCCATGTTAGCTCGGGTCTTTCACCCACCCGCCATGGCAGATGGCTAGAAAAAGACGGCTTCTAGGGGCTCCTGAGAGATCTTATAGGACAGTGGAAGGGGAGTGTCTAGGGGTATGCACAGGCTCACGATTGGTGTGCCTCCAGGCTTGGAGGGCTTGCCCTGTGTTGATTGGTCAACTGGTTGTTATGGCCCATAGGCCCTCCCAGGTTGCTATGCTCTCTATGTCACTGTTGTGCGCTTGTCCGTAAAGCACACCCAGGGTCGAAAAGCATAGCACCACCAACTAACTTCTGATTGGTTCCTTGTCATGAGACAGGCATCTGACTTTCTAGTGACTAACTTCTGATGGGTTCCTTGTCA